TGCAAGTTTGCACACCTGTTTACTGTCACTGAATGGAAAAGAGCAGCGTGAACATTGTGCTAAACATCTCCTTTTGTGTTCACCGGGAAGAAAGAAAGTCATACAGATTTGGAGCAACATTTTGAGATGCAATTTACATTTTGTGAGCTAAAACTAGCACTTAATGACAAAGACGTCGGATGATTTGTCATGCAAAGTAAACTTCAGTCTCCGTGTGCTTTTGAAAGACTCTATAAAACTAATCAGAAAGCCTCCAACCCGGCAGCGGCCCTCAATAATGACTGATTCACGGCTGCGTTCCCATTGACCGAATATAAAGACTTCTCCAAAGCTATCGGTAAATAGAATGAAATTAACAAAGGCCCCCAAAACGAATTAAACATTTAAAGAAATGATTTGCTGATTAAGGGGTTTCTGCTACAATCCCGAATACACTTTGATCTTTTCACAGCCACCGTAATGTGGCATTAAATTGAGTTGAGATTTATTTTGGCGCTTCAATTAGACATTTCTTTTACCCTTTATAATTAAATGTGCCATGCTTAACCGGCCACAAAGAAGAGAAACATTTTAGAGGCGTTTGGCTCTGACAGTGAGTAGAACTGAGATGAAGACGCATTCACGTAACCAGACCATCAGAGCGCCAGTCGCCAGGGTTTTTTTGCCAACTCTCTGGCCCTTATTGATGGTCTGTATTTAACAGCTCAAAAAAAAAGGCACTAATGGCATCTAAATTATGATTGATATCGGCGTGAGGTCTGTATTCACCCTTCAGAAACACCTCTGACCGCTGAAGTTTAACATGTTTTGTGGCACTAAAAGCCACGTCTGTAAGTCACCCGCCACTAAATGACCAATTTAGGTGATTACTCTTGAGTGCTTTATACCGTTTATACCATTCAATTAAACCTCATTAAGTTGAAGATTTGAATTTTTACCTTCACATATTCATATTAAATATTTGAAACCTATTTATATTAATTCATATTTTGACATTATTAATTTCCCCCCAAAATGTTTTTGCAATGGCTAAAGCAAATTTTGAATTATCACCATAAACCATATGGAACTCCTTCAATTTTCATTATAAATTATACATATTTTTTATATAAATGTAATTAGTTTAATTAAATGTATGTTCATTTATAATGTATTTACATATATTAGTATCGGTATTAATATTCATTTAGATGAATTTTAAATAATATAAATATATTGTTTATATTTTACTTTTATAAAATAATCTAAAAATATTTATAAATTTTTTTATTTATATTAATTTCCCCTTTTTTCTTTTTCAGTGCTTACATTGAATGTTGAATTATCATCATGAACTATAGATATGAAATTCCTTCTGTTTTCATTACAAATGATTATGTGTTTATTAATTCAATTAATACATATTCATAAATTTTTTTTACTTCATAATGCATTTTTATTGTGCATACATAATGCATGTCCATTTTGCATGTTTCACTATCCAAAGATGTAGAAATGTAATTGAGTCATAGCGTCTAGCTCTGCTGTCTAGAGTCTCCTCACTATTTCGCGTGTCGCTGTGCTGTTTTTCAGGTGTCATTGCCGTTGTGATATTTGTGAGTCTGGCCGCGCTGGCTGTGATGGCGCGATTCCTGTACCGGCGGAAAGAAACGTTTCAGCCCCAAGAGCCCAAAGTGGGAAAAACAGATGACAGTCCCGAAACGCCCTTTAACACGGATCCAAACTCACAGAGCATTGTCAGTGATTACCAAAAAGAATATTTCATATGACGCTCTTTTACCTCGTATCGGACTAATCCAGTTAAACCGACGGACTGAAATGCC